CGACAAGAGTGGGCAATTCGCCAAATATCCGCCTAATCGCCAGCAGAATCTGAAAAATGTAAATAATATAGTGCCCTAAAATACGTTGTTTCCCAGAAAAACTTTTCCAGTTAGTTGAGAAGGACATTTTTTAGAAAATTTCGTTATCACACACCAATTAGTTAGAAATAAAACCTAACTCTCACTTGCAAAAACTAAAGCGCGACTCATGCACACATTCAAGAAATGTTCCCTTCATCTGTATCCATAAAACGACAAAATTTAACCTCATATGCGGAAAATCCACAAAAACTAGCCTTATACGCGTATTTTTTGTGCAACTTCTTCTGGGCCTTGAATGTTTCAATTAACTGCTCCATAAATTCCGCAGAGATATCGCCCTCGAGAACCGGTCCGTCGTACGTTGCCTCTACTTCTGGAACATACTGCTCGTTATTTGAATCGAAGTTCCACTCCATTTTTCAGTTTTCGGCAAAGCTGAAGGCGACCCGTCTGCTACCAACCAGATCGCTGTGCTTTTAACCACAACCAGCTATTTTCGACAAGTCCACCACCAATCGATTCACATCAAAACGAAGGCGTAAAACGCCTTTGTCAGTGAGGTTTCCCCAGCACCATCATTGAATCACAGTGATTGTTTTAATCACAGCATTCATCAACGACGAAAGCAAATCTGTCGTTCAGTTGTTTCTGTCGTACTGTGAAAAATCGAGGGGATTTCTAAATGCAGCCTTTAAAGCTCCACAGATGAGACTGGACGCTGACGCTATCTTTTTGGCCTCATTTACTTGATTCCAGCTGGCGCATAACATGCGCAAGCCACACAGCCGTAAAGCCAAGTGCGTGTCCTTCTTAAAAATATCGCTTAGCAATACGCGTCATTCACGAGCAGCCTCCGAAGCAAGCATTTTATTCAAAAAAATTGCAAAAAAATTGCTAACCAGCTCTGGTCACTGAAATGTGCCGTTTTGCCTCAGTTGAACTGTTACTCTGATTACTTTGACCAGCTGCTGATGCACTGCCACACTATCAGTAGAGTTGGCAACACTTCCACAGATCCTTTCTACAGTATAGTTGGTAACCTTTCCATTTTTATGCGTTTTTGCTGTGCAGCGCTATAGCGTGTTACAGTGGGCAAAAACGCATACTGTCGAAAAGTCGTACGTGGGTGTGTGTGTTCGGAAGTAAGTGAACTTTGTTACCCATTTAAACTTAGCAACCAGAAAATCTGGGGGGCTGAAGGTTTGTGGTCATATTCCCACACCATGTGCACCTTCCCATTTTAAAATC